GTAATGAGTTCTTGTTGTCTAATTTACGATGCTGATACGTTCTCCTGTTATCATACTAGCTACCTACCAATCCCATAGAGTTGGTCACAAGTAGTGTACTCTCTACCCAAGCTAAGGTAGATTTCTCGAGATATTGCTTAAATATTACATTGAAATTACTTGTCTTGATAGTTATTTGAGACATATTAAATCAACAGTGTATAAGTTTCTGTGCACTACCACCAGAAACTAGAAGCTCTCTTCTACCAAAGTGCTTTTATCTTACTAGTATATATAAAAAAATCTCTTATAGTACTAGGTCTCACTTGCAGATTCAAATCTTGTTGGAACCATTTCTTTGGAAGAAAAATGACTCGTCCTCAAAAGTCTCAGATGCATCTGCTGAAGAAAGGTGAGTATAAATTTGTCTTCCAAACCATCAGTAATCTCAGTCACAGACATTATAACTTCCACTTCATTTCCCATTTTCTCTGCTGTAGTGTAAGTGGGTTCTTTCAACGCCATTTTGGACAAGAGGTTTGTTGCTACCTAATCCTATGTTTTGATCGAAACATCCTAATCTCATTGTTTTATGTTGTTTCATATTTTTCTCTGCATGTGTAAACATCACTTGTGGACTATCGCTATTAATTTCAGACGACTGTGATCTTCCTTTCATGTGTCCCTTTTTATGTATCTGATTTTCAAGGTTGTGGACTATCTCATCGACCCTTTTGTTGGTGGAACAAGTGCTGCGGACCCTGATTCCCTTTCAGTGAGCAACTTTACACTTAATATAATTGTCTTTGTTTTTAAAATTATCGTTCGATATTCCTCAATTTTATATCCCTCCCTACGATTTATGATCAGATGAAGCATTCTTTTCCAGATCTCTGGAATGTAGAGAAAAGGTACTTTCTCATGTACCTATACTATATTCAATGAGTTCCACTCGAAGAGTACTTCCAAGATTCTTTTCGTATTGATAGGGTTATGCAGTCAGGTTTTGAATTGGTCATTCCTTTACTCGTGTCATTGTATGCTTGGTAATATCAAACAATTTTTTGGTCCCTTGATGTGTAATGTGATAGACAGAAAAGTTTTACTGACAAAGACAGCATTGTAAATAACATTAGCTTCCTTATTTTGGAATTTGCCTTAGTTTTACCTGGTTCTGTACTTCTCTATGCTGATTTTATAGCGATGAGCTGTTTAACTGTTCTCCGGTCAGTTGCTAAATAAATTATTTTCGTTTTCAGTTTTGGCTCTATTATAGTCGGTGCAATCAGAACAAAGTTGGCTGCTAAAGGGGGTAAAAGTGGAGAAGCAAAGAGTTCTCCTGGCACAAAAAGGGGTTCGCGCAGGTCATTCTCTTTTAAGGGGGGAATGCAGGTAATGCTTTGTCAATGAAAGCCAGATTTTTTACCATATAAACAAGTGTTTTCCGCCGTATTTATCATGTTTTTCTTGCTCTGTACCACTTGTCGTTGATATGTTTCCATTTTGGGATATTGCAGATTCTTCCTGATATGTTGTGCAAAAGTCTCTCACATGATGAGATCAATTTAGACTCCAAGGTTCTCTCTTTGTCTTACAATTCTGGATCAAGACAGGAGAACTGGTCACTATCTTGTGTTTCACATAATGAAACGCAGAGACAAAACCTCCATTATGATGCTGTAGTTATGACGGTTAGTGTTTTTTTTTGTCAGATGTGAGATGCAAATTACAGAACCTCTCAACTAACAAGAAATTTATGTACCTTAGGCTCCTCTGTGCAATGTGAAGGAAATGAAGGTTACGAAAGGAGGGCAACCCTTTCTGCTAAACTTTCTCCCCGAGGTAATTGTGTCTTTTACAACCCAGAATTTTTTTTGTGAGTATTAGGCCTATATCTAGATGTAGTCCAGTGTTTTAGATTTTTCTACTCCAAATACTGAACCTTAATATGACATCAAAGAACTTCATTGCATGATGCGGTGATTAGTTATCTCTTATATGTACTATTTATCCCAAGTTAATTGGATATCTATGTTGATCTTGTTCTTTGCTCAGATTAATTACATGCCCCTCTCGGTTTTAATCACCACATTCACAAAGGAGAAAGTAAAGAGACCTCTTGAAGGCTTTGGGGTACTCATTCCATCTAAGGAGAAAAAGCATGGTTTCAAAACTCTAGGTAACTTGTTGGTGTGAGCATAACTCAAACAAATAGCCCTATATTTTTCCTTCTATAATTATCAACACTTCATACTCCTCTATACGCAGGTACACTGTTCTCATCAATGATGTTTCCAGATCGTTGCCCTAGTGACCTTCATCTATATACAACTTTTATTGGTGGGAGTAGGAACCAGGAACTGGCCAAAGCTTCCACGTAAGAGAAATTTGATTGCTTTAAAGTTTGTAGAGCAGTCCAACACAGACACAATTATGTTAAATAAAAGCTACTTAGTCACTAATAAATGTGATGCAGGATCATTACCATTTTTCTAGTTTCATACTTTACCCAATTCTGATGAATTTTTTTTTCGGTTTTATCTTTGTAGAGACGAATTAAAACAAGTTGTGACTTCTGACCTTCAGCGACTGTTGGGGGTTGAAGGTGAACCCGTGTCTGTCAAGTATGTGAAGTTCTGAGATTTTTTCTATTTGATCGTTTTAGTGTACGAAAGAGGAAATTACCCTTATAGCTAAACAATATATGTTAATCGCAGCCATTACTATTGGAGGAAAGCATTCCCGTTGTATGACAGCAGCTATGGCTCAGTCATGGAAGCAATTGACAAGATGGAGAAAGATCTACCCGGGTTCTTCTACGCAGGTAACTTCCACCAAAGTCTTGTTCTTGTAGATAGAAAGCATTAGATATATGATCCATGATGATGAATGTAGCCAGTAGATGGCCTTGAGACAATTCATTGCAGTTATTTATCTATTTTGTGCACGGACCAAAATTAACAGGTAATCATCGAGGCGGGCTCTCTATTGGGAAATCAATAGCATCAGGTTGCAAAGCAGCTGATCTTGTGATCTCATACCTGGAGTCTTGCTCAAATGACAAGAAACCAGATGAGAGCTTATGAACATTGTCAAGGTTCGTCCCTTTTTATCACTTTATTTGTAAAATGCAATTGCGATTAGCCAACAAACTCAGCAAAACCAGATTCTCCTAGACTCACTAATTCTAGCATAAACTATCCATGTATTGTTTGGTCTGTTTTCTTGTTGCATCACTGGTCTGTCCTCGGTAGAAGAACATGATCGTGAGAGATTTTAGGATTGAAGAATCTTTAAAAAACAAATTGTTGATATTGTCTTATCTTCATGATCTCATTTCTGCTCTCTAGACAAGTTGGAGAGAAACTTGTTTGGTTTCTGGTGAGAAGGGGATGTTGATGTTTTGCTTGTTTTTTCTCCAAAGCCACAACCATAAGATGGCCCCAAAAAGGTTGTCCTAATGTTAGATGTTAGTATCTGAATAGCCATGTCTGAAGAACATGATCGTGAGAGATTTTAGGATTGAAGAATCTTTAAAAAACAAATTGCTGATATTGTCTTATCTTCATGATCTCATTTCTGCTCTCTAGACAAGTTGGAGAGAAACTTGTTTGGTTTCTGGTGAGAAGGGGATGTTGATCTTTTGCTTGTTTTTTCTCCAAAGCCACAACCATAAGATGTCCCCAAAAAGGTTGTCCTAATGTTAGATGTTAGTATCTGAATAGCCATGTCTGTTCGTCCCACATGCTCCCCCCGTTCCCATTTCATGGAGTCTTATGTTTTGCCTTATCATTCTCCTATGAAGCGTTATCTGTCTTAACCCATTTTTGTCTTCGTTAGTCTCTTTTTGATACTAAAGCAGAATCAGTAATAGAGCTTGCAATGTTCTAGTCCTTTTGTTCCTTTTGTGGTGTGCTTAATTGAATAAAACTAGTAGAAAAACAAATGATGGTTACATCTCTTTACGTTTAGATTAGTTTTGTTGGTAAGTTATAACAGTATTGAAACATCATATTGGCTTATGAAATATACTAGGTTTTTGAATATAGGAAGTAGTACCATCATGAAAATGCTAAGGAAAGTAGTAGCTAGATTTTAACGCATCAATTGTGATTACATTCACGATTGTCAATTTATAAAAAAAAGAAAAGAAAAATGTTGTTAACAATTTTGTTAAACAATAGTGAGAAAACATCTTAATGTTCGTACTTGATATATTAAAAAAATTGACGCATGTGAGACCAAAAAAAAGAAGTTAATTAATACGATGGTCCGGTCTTTGACAGTAGACCAGACCTGTGGGACATGTAATGCGGGCCTCAAAACTTTAACAAAGCATAATCACCACCTTTGCCTGCGAGGAAAAGACCTACTTGCCCTCATATGCCACAAGTCTAGACTATAGTCTAATACTCTCTCCGTTTCATAATATAAGTCGATTTGGAGAAAAAATTTTGTTTCATAATATAAGTCGTTTTCAAGTTTTTATGCATTTTATATATTACTTTAATATTTTATAATTATTTATATTATGCAGTCTCTTTTATGATTGGCTGAACTTTTTAAAAGTAGATCTTCTTAATCTACGTGTTTAAAGCTAAAACGACTTATATTATGAAACGAAGGGAGTAGATATTTGTGTCTCAGAAAAATATATGCTACAATCTAAACATTGTGGATTTGTTAATAATGGTTGATGAAACTATATAATGTATGGTTGGGATTGCCATATTTTGTCCTTCAACGAAAGCTACTTGTAGCGGACAATGTTTCGTATTCGTAGAGCAAAAGCTTCCTTTTGGTATCGTAGAAGGGCAGTTTGGTGAATTAACAAGACATGGAATCTAATCACACATAAACCAACGTTTAAATCTTATAAACAAAGTGGGGAAGAAAAGAAGAAGAAGAGACATGTGTTCTATGAGTCAACTAAAGTCACAAATTGCATTTTGCATACACTAATAAACAAATCAATAATCATACTTTTATCCATTACCAATTCAAATTTCATTATTTTACAGGAAAAAGAGATTTTCCAGACAATTGGTCATAAAAAGGAACAACCATTCATAAAATTGAGTGCACATTTTTTGCTTTATGATTGTTTCTGGTGACCCACATTCTAAATTTACTGTTTCTTTCATAAAGAGAAGAAGAAGAAGAAGAAAAAAGATTCTTTGAAATCTCTTCTTTTTCTCAATTTTACTCACATAATTACAGAACCCGCCATTAATGCTGCTCAACCCTTTTGTCATTAATGCTCTCATCATCTTCTTCTCTAGCTTCCCCAGTTTCTTTCTCGTCTATGTGTTGAATCCGACAACACACACACACACACAAGAATACCGACATTCTCCTCCACGATTTCTGCATTTGTCCTCACTCTCTTCTTCTTTTGCTTTTTGCTTCCTGACCTCTTTTCAGAGATTTGATTATAAACCAATTCAGTTCCTTGGATCACGAGCTGGGTTTGACTTGAGTTGACTAGAAAAAAATCTAGATGGGTCTCTTTCATTTTCCTCTCAGAATCCAAGTCTGCTTCTAATTCTAGGGTTCTGTTTCAATTCTTCTAATACACCTTCGTTTTTTATTGCAATGGAACATTCAAAGGTCTTACCTTTGCTCTTTCTTTCATGGGTTATGATGTTCTTACAAAGCACCCATCAACTTCAAAACTCTCAGACTCAGGTCCTGTATCAGCTCAGGAAGCATCTGGAATTCCCTAAAGCTCTGGAATCTTGGGGAAATTACTATGGAGACTTATGTCAAATCCCTGCAACTGCTCATATGAGCATCACCTGTCAAGGTAATTCCATCACGGAGCTTAAAGTTATGGGGGACAAGCTTTTTAAACTATTTGGTATGTTTGATGGGTCTTCACTTCCAAATCACACTCTGTCTGAAGCATTCTTAATTGATTCTTTTGTTACCACATTGACAAGGCTTACAAGCTTGAGGGTTCTTAGCTTAGTGTCTCTAGGTATCTATGGTGAGTTCCCAGGGAAAATCCATCGGTTGAATTCTCTTGAGTACTTGGATTTGAGTTCAAATTATCTGTTTGGTTCTGTCCCTCCTGATATTTCCAGATTGGTTATGCTTCAAAGTCTGATGCTTGATGGAAATTACTTCAACGGCAGTGTTCCTGACACGCTGGATTCCTTGACTAATCTTACTGTTCTTAGTTTAAAGAACAATCGGTTCAGAGGTCCATTTCCTTCTTCAATTTGCAGACTTGGAAGACTAACAAATCTTGCTCTATCACACAATGAGATTTCTGGTAAATTGCCTGATCTCAGCAAGTTGAGTCATCTGCATATGCTGGATCTGAGAGAAAACCACTTGGATTCTGAACTACCTGTGATGCCTATAAGATTAGTTACTGTTCTACTGAGTAAGAACTCCTTCTCTGGCGAAATTCCCAGACCTTTTGGCGCTTTGTCTCAGCTTCAGCATCTTGATTTGTCGTTCAATCATCTCACTGGAACTCCATCTCGGTTCTTGTTCTCTTTGCCAAACATTAGTTACTTGGACTTGGCATCTAACATGCTCAGTGGGAAGCTACCACTTAATCTGACCTGTGGAGGCAAACTTGGATTTGTGGATATGTCGAATAACAGATTTATTGGGACTCCTCCCCGTTGCTTGGCAGGAGCTTCCGGCGAGCGAGTTGTTAAACTCGGTGGTAACTGCTTGTCCATATTTGGCAGTCATGATCAGCATCAAGAGTTCTTATGTGAAGAGGCTGAAAATGAGGGAAAACAGTTCCAAGGAAGAAAGGTTGGGATTTTGATTGCTGTAATTGGTGGAGGTGTTCTCATTCTTGTGTTTTTTGTATTAGTAATCCTCCTGTTATGCACAAACCGCTGCTCTTGCTGTTGTTCAAGAGAAAAGTCAGTGCCGCAAACTCGGCTTAAGGTTGTGACAGATAATTCACACACCAGTCTCTCAGCTGAAGTTCTGGCTAGTGCAAGTGAGTAACTTTGACTCAAAATGTAGACTTTTGCCTGCTAGCAATTTTCTTTCAGGAATTTAATATCCTTGTACGATTTCGTCTTGCAGGGTTAATCTCTCAAACAACAAAGCTAGGTGCACAAGGTGTGCCGTCATGCCGGTCATTTTCTTTTGAAGAGTTAAAGGAAGCCACAGACGATTTTGATTCATCTCGTTTCTTAGGTGAAGGCTCCCTTGGAAAGGTATGGTTTACGCAAGATTAATTCTTGTGATATGCCCATCAGTCATTTGTTTTACTCTGCTTGTTTTGATTCTTTGCAGCTATACAGAGGAACACTTGAAAATGGAAGTTCCATAGCTATCAGATGTCTGGTTTTATCAAGGAAATTCTCCAGCCAGAGTATCAGAGGTCACTTAGATTGGATGTCAAAGCTCAACCATCCTCATCTCCTTAGCTTCTTGGGCCATTGCACTCAAACCAGCGGAGAACACGATCCTGTTGCAACCATACTCTACCTTGTATACGAGTATATGCCCAACGGGAGCTATCGCACACATCTATCAGGTCAGTTTGGCATGTGTAGTAAAGTAAACTCAATGTCAAAATTGAATCTCTCTGTACTTGGAAACTCAATGTTATTAGAATATTGTTTATTTGTAGAATCTTTCTCGGAGAAGATCCTGACATGGCCAGATCGGCTAGCAATTCTGATTGAGATAGCAAAGGCAGTTCATTTTCTTCACACCGGTGTAATGCCTGGTTCATTCAACAATCATCTAAAGACGAACAATATTTTGCTTGACGAACACAAGATTGCAAAGCTCAGTGACTATGGAGTCTCTGCCATCATTGAAGAGAACGAAAAGCTCGAGGTTTGCTCTATTTACTCTCTTTCACTCTGTTTTTCTTCATTTTGTATGCTCTTCTTTGATACTAACTCAGGACTCTACTTTGCTTCTGCTTCTACATTTTGCAGACAAAGTCAGAAACCCACAAGTCAAAGTATGCATCTTTTGTCCTTCTATTGAAAAACTCCATGGCATTTATGAGAATCTAATTCAAACTTTGGGATTATGCAGGAAAATGGCTAAAAGAGAGGACGATGTGTACAACTTCGGATTCATACTTCTGGAATCTCTGATAGGACCAGTGCCCACTACAAAAGGAGAGGCTTATCTTCTCAACGAAATGGTAACAAAGAGAAAAAAAAAAAAAAAAAGGCATCATCAGTGTTATTTGATTGAAACAAAGTTGGTTAATAGCTGTTGCTGCAATGTTGTGTTTGCAGACATCATTTGGGAGCCAAGACGGTCGGCAGAAAATAGTAAGTCCAACGGTCCTAACAACAAGCTCGCAGGAGTCTTTATCGATTGCGATCTCAATCGCCAATAAATGTGTTTTGCTTGAACCTTCCGCAAGACCTTCCTTTGAAGATGTTCTCTGGAACTTACAATACGCAGCTCAAATGCAGTCTGCCGCAGACGCTGAACGCAAATCTGATACGTCGTCGTGAATCCTAAGGCTAACCTAATGATTGATAGTTTTTCGGTTTTTTAAATGTAAAGTTCTATAAGTTTGGTTTTTCAGTATAAAAATGTAAGACTCTTGCGACTAAAAATCATAGTTTCTTGTCTTCTCTTGAAACTTATTTCGTTAAACAAATATTGATTGAAGATGATACTGAGTTTGTAGTTGAAGAGAACTTCTCAATCTTCAAGAACTGAACAAGGTAAGTGAGGCAGGAGACATGTCAAATATTCTTGGAGAATCTTCTCTTTGAATTGCAGAATCGATCCCAAATATTTTATTTATAATAAAAGCTAGAATGTTACATGGATTAGCATATAAGTAACCGTACAACCAAGGGCTGCACACTTTGTCAAGTGCTTCAAATCATCAATAAACTTAAACAGTAGCTGGAACTTTGGATTCCACTGATTTGAGAACCTCATCACCCATTTCCTTGCATCCCACCAGTTTCTGCATTTTCAAAACACAAGACTCAGACTTTTAAGTATATTGTTACTAACTTTTGCAAAAAAAATAGACAGAAATCATCATACACATACATTTCCGGGGGAGTAGATGTCTCCGGTTCTGAACCCTTTGTTCAGAGCATCCACAACCGCGTCTTCAATCCTCTTTGCAGCCTTTTCTTCTCCAAGTCCATACTTCAGAAGCATCGCCGCACTGAGAATGGTGGCCAATGGGTTTGCTTTGTCTTGTCCAGCTATATCTGGTGCTGAACCATGTATAGGTTCAAAGAGTCCAGGTCCCTGATTTCATCACAAGTTTAACAATCCACATGAGTTAATAAACAGGAGGAACCTTGAAAGATGTTGACTAATTTTGTTTACCGATTCACCGAGACTAGCAGATGGAAGCATTCCAATGCTTCCAGTGATCATTGAAGCTTCATCAGACAATATATCACCGAAAATGTTATTGGTGACGATTGTGTCAAACTGCAATGTTTTAAAAACGCCATGAGTACTACTTCCACTTCTGTGTTAGTTTAATCAATGGCTAAGTTTTACATAAGCGCAAAGAGCACCTGTTTCGGGTCACGGATAAGCTGCATTGCAGCATTATCGACATACATATGTGATAGTTCAACGTCAGGATATTCAGAGGCTAAAGCTGTTACTCTTTTCCTCCACAATATTGATGCCTACATGAAAACAAATTTGCATTACGAGAAACCCACAAATACTAGAAAAAGATTTCAAGAACTGATCAAACGTACATCCAACACATTGGCTTTGTCGACAGAACACAGCTTGCCTCGCCTTTTCCTAGCAGTCTCGAATGCAACACGAGCAATTCTGTCGATCTGAAGAACATAAGCAATGCATTAATACACATAAATGATACATATCTAGCTAATATTGTCATAAAGCAGATTGTGAAGGTTTAGTACCTCGTGAGCAGCATAGATCTCTGTACTAATGCCGACTTCTTCGCCATTTTCATTGATCTTGATACCTCTTGGCTCTCCAAAGTAAATACCTCCAGTGAGCTCCCTAACAATCATCATATCAACACCTTCTGCTACTTCTTTCTTCAGTGTGGAAGCATCAACTAGCTGAACATGCAAAACAGAAAATTTGAGTTTATTTACAACTACAAGCATAAGCAAATCGAAACCGAAGATACCTGTGGCAAAACTGTAGCAGGTCTCAAATTAGCAAAGACTTTGAGATCTCTTCGAAGGTAAAACAGAGCCATCTCAGGTCTCAGATGTTTCTCATTCTTGTCCCATTTGTACCTGAACAAGAATCATCCAAAACTCAAGAAGAGAATAAATTTGGAAGCAGTTTTCTGAAGAAACAAAACACACACACACACACACAATACCCTCCAATAGCTCCAAGAAGAATGGCATCAGATTGTTTTGCAGCCGTGAAAGTTTGCTCAGGCATTGGAACTCCGACCAAATCCAAGGCTGCTCCTCCAACAGGCATCTCCTGGAAATCAAACTCCAGTCCTGTGATACAAAAGCAGGAACTCAAATATCACTCGTTGTTTCCAAAAACTTTGCAAACAAGTTCCAAGCAGCAAAAACAAAATCAAAGAAGACAATAAGATAACATTGAGAGAGAGAAAGAACCTTCGAGAGATCCAGCTTTCTGAAGCACAATCTTAGCAACAGAGATAACTTCTGGACCGATACCGTCGCCTGGAAGCAGAGCGATATTATACCGTTTTTTCCCCGGTGAAGCCGCAGCGCACCTAATTCGATACGGCGCACGAAACTGATGATCGGTGAGAGAACTGTATCTTCCCGGGACGATCTTGATCGAATTCAGACGGATGTTCGTTTGCAAAAACGCCGCCATTTTTTTTGGAGTTAGGAAATTTGAAATTGTGACGAGTGAGTGTCACACTTGTTATATAACATTTTAGTATTTGGTACTTCGATAGGTAGGTGTGCACGTTTTTTTTTAATTTGCAAAATTAAGCCCTCAAAATTTTCTTTTTAAAAATGGCTTAAACAAATCCTTTTCACCTATAATATGGCTCACCAGCTTGTTATATAGCAAGGTCCCTTTGCATGTTTGCGGAGAAGAACTGGAGAAGAGCCACTACAATTGGGCGTTTACCAAACATTGGCCCAATTAAAGTCGCAACAGTATTGGGCGGATCTTATAGCCCATAAAATTGCAAGTATATAACGGTTGTTTTCTTAAAACGAAGTAGAACAACGGCTGATGATCCGATATTCTGTCAAGTAGTCTGGTTCGTCCAGGGATGAATGAACACGCACTGTTTTTAACACAACACTCCACCAAAATAATTTACTAAAGTACCTAAATTAAGCCTAAATAGTATATATCTTAAATATTTGCATACGATAGAATCGAAAGACGAGACAAGTGAAGTCCACCACCACGCGAGAGCTATGACCAAATTTTTATGTTTTCTGAATATGATACGTATCATAAAAGGTGTGTTCATACTTCATAGGGGATAGGGATGTTAGTGTTGAAACGTGGATACAAAATATGAATGCAAGACTTTTGTCTAGAAACTATATTTGGAACATTGTGTACCCTAAATTATTAATATTATCCAGATTTAGCATGTCTCGAGGTATATTTTGTTCTGTATTTTTGACTACCGTACACTGTGCATCAGTGCATGCAGGGTGTGAACGAAAGCAAACCAATGTAGAAATTAAATGTATTTTTTTTTTTTTTTGTATGAGTTTGAGAAGAAAACAAGTAACGGAAACTGATGTCATAGTCCATTTACCCGTCCCTACAGCATCTTCAATCGCCTTTAACAGTTTCTTCTTTCGTCCTATCTTTTTTTGTTTTTGTCATTCACAACTAAGACAAAACTAATATTATTACAACATTTATGTGATATGTTTTCCTTGCTTATGAGTATTGGAGATCTCTGAGATTTAACATTTATGTATCTTTTCTTTAGTTTTGCTTAGATTGCCTTAAATTAGAAAAAAGGATATCTACTACAAAATTTGTCCATATATTCCTTTTTTTTTGTAGATTGGTCAATTAGGTTTTTTAAAAATCAAAACCCAACTTTACCCTCATTTTCTCTCAAAATTAATTCAAAATTTATTTAAAAAATAAAACTTCCTAATTTATTTACAAAAATTAAATAGAATTTAAAAGATCAAATCATCGTCCACTTGCAAATTCTTATTTCTTTAATTTCATCAACATGTACATGTTCGTTTTTTATATTATATACTTTGACGGGCATGTTCATATTTTTGTATACATGTATATTTTGTCCATCTTACGCATTACCTTTAGCCTAAAATCATCGAATTTTCTCAAAAGCTGTTATACGTAATTTATTTACACACATTATATTTATAAATGAAGATGGCAAACAACTCAACGTAACGAGTTATTATACAATTGATCAATCCAACATTACGCATATTGTAATCTTTAGTATATATTACGTATTGACCATTTCATTTACACTTTTTATGCTGAAACTATAGAAAAACAAGATTAATTAAACTTGAAAAATCATATTTTTAATTAACGAACAATATAACCACATTCTTCTAGTTGAATATTATTATCTTCGGGTGGTGAAAGCCGGAATAGGACTAATTCGAATCGGTTCTTAATAGATATAAAATACAAAAATTAAAAGAAGGATTATGATATGCATGAGAGATTAATTCACTAATGTAACATTTTTTCACACATAAACCAGAAAAAAACATAGATCACACGATGGCTAAAAATCAAGAAAATGACGATGACGCTGCAGCTTTTGAGAAAGTGTTTGTAAGCTTGTGGGTTATCAAAGCGGCAGACGACAGACCAAACGGTGGATATTAGAGCGGAGATCTCGTGAATAACAGCAGAGCAACACTGGTTAGGATCAACCTCGTGTGTGTGAAAACGAGCGGCCATGGGGTCGCGTGAGAGAGAAGGAAAAAGTTTTTGGAACGACGCGATCATCATCGGAATTTAAAAGTAGGATATAGCAAGAAATTGAAAGTGATGACTTAGCTTAGGGTTTAGAAACATTTTTGGTTTTAACTTTTTCTTAAAAAACGTAGACAACGATTTCTAAATTGTGTAGATCGTAATCTAAAAAATTAATACCCATTTAAAACGTAATTTACAGTAATTATTTAGTTTCTTTTTCTGAAAATTTACTTTCTATATTTAGAACATTCTAAAAATTACAGAAATCGAAATCTGCAATACCGTAGAATCTACATTCTAAACGAAGATTACAATTTCTAACGATGGCAGAAGATGTAGAAATTATTAGAACGGCTATTCTAAAATATTTAGAACATAGAGCAAAACGTAGAATGCATGTTCTAAATATTTTCTTTTTTTTTGTCATCCATGTTCTAAATATTTTAGATATATGATTTTCGGATTTCTAAAATTCTCAGAACAGAAATCTAGTCTGAAATATGTAGAACATGTACAAAAATGCAGAATACACATTCTGAGTTTTGCAGAACTCTAGAAAACGTGTTCTACCAAAATTAGATGAAACTTTATCTATCAAAAAATCAACTTTTTTAAAACCAAATCTAAAAAATTCCACTTCAAATCACCTTTACTCTTGCATATCTACATGTTTTAATTATTATTTTTTTAAAAAAATATTTAAATTAGGGTGTAGGGGTAAAATCGTCCAAACTGACAATCTCACAAAAAA